GACTTTGTATTTAGCATTCAGTAGAAGTTCGTGAGTTAGTGACACCAGATTTGGGTAGAGGTGTATGTGAATTCCGTACTTGGTTTCTGTTATTTATGTTTTGAGATTTCCGCTTTTATGTTAATTGCCTCGTTCTTCTTTATTTTGCTAATGATAATGAGAAAAGTGTTAGATTAATTGGCTTGCCTAGCTCCTATCAGTAGGCGCCATCACGACTCCCGAGGGTGGGAAATCCGGGTCGTGACACGAGGCAACCAAAAGGCGTATTATTAGATATGTGTACTCTTTTTCCTTTTCTAGATTTTTTTCCCATTGGATTTTCTTTTAGTTAAGGTTTTAAGGAGGCACATTATCTGTTGAATAGGCATTCAAGGGGGAGTGTTATAAATAGAGGTGAATGTCTATATTTAGAGAGATTCTAGGGTTTATTACTTGGTGGCTAAGTCACCCTCTCCCTATAAATAGAGGGTTCTATTCCATTGTAATTCATCCCAAAATTCAATAAGAATTTCCTCTCTCTCTTTCTCTGCAATATTGTTCTTGTTCTTTTATTGTTTCATAACACTTTAAAAGTTTTTTTTTACTTTCACTGATTGTCTACTTATCTTCTACAATACCCAAAAATCTTGCCCATAGGGTCATTGTATGTTTGTTTTACATATTCACAAACATACGCACACATTTGAAAACATATAAAATAATCAACATTCGTATAAAGTTTTATAGTCAATTACAAAGGAGGAGAGCGTAATATTATAGAAAATATACTTATCCAAAGTGTACGACATTATTTCAACTCTCAATAGAATTGTAGCATTGTACATATGAATTATGGGAGATCCTTAAACAACTTCTAACTAAATACATAAAATAGGTCTCTCTTGTGTTTCAGCTTGTTCTTTAATATTTTTAGCTACTTATACTTGCTTAGCACCTTTTTCTTGGACAAGTTCTTCAGGCTTCAAATTCATGATCTGTTAAAGAAATAATAATAAAAGAATTTATTGATAAAAAGATTTCATTCTTGACGAGCATATTCACACAAACATGTATCCGTATCGCTCTGTTACTGATGTGGAGCAGAAGTACAATAACCCAATAATTATAACTTCAACTTTGCTTAATAATTTAGTAAAAGTGTTGGAATAGTTAGTGGTTAGGATTTAATTGTGGTTAAGGGAGTTAACTGTAGAGGTTAGTAGTTTGTTAGAAGTTAGTTTAATTCCACTATGCATGTGACAGTTGGATGACAGTTGTAGGATAGGTCGGTTGATAAAGTTAGTGTTGTATATATGTATACATTGTAAGCTCATTACAACATAAGAAAACCACTCTCCTTCCTTTTCTTGAATGTTCTAACAGCTCCACTATCTATGCTCGATCACCTCTGTTTTCTTTTCTGCTCAAGCTTGATTCCTCCATGGGAGGAGCTTGGAGCTGAGTTAGATACAGCAAATTCACATGGTATCAGAGCATTTGAGACTGAAAATTTTCACTAAATCATAGAACTCTATTTCAATTTCTTCTTCTTCAAATATCAGTTCAAGTTCAACAATGGCGGCTGAAAAAATTGATTATACTCATCCACTGTTTGTGTATCCTTCGGATACTCCTAGCTCAGTTCTAACTCCATTCAAACTATCTCGATATGATAATTACATATTGTAGCGTCGATCGATGCGAATTGCATTGCAACCTAAGCAGAAATTAGGGTTCGCCACTAGCACTTGTAAGAAGGAGTCGTTTGAAACTAAACTCTATGAGGATTTGGAGACATGCAATGCTATTGTGCTTTCCTAGTTGATGAATACAGTGTCATTGGATCTCCTTCATGGAATCGTCTATGCATCAAATGCGCATCTGGTTTGGGAGAATTTGCATGAAAGATTTGACAAAGTGAGCAAAATAAGGATATATCAGTGGCATTGAGAAATTGCAACCATTTCTCAAGGAACAAATTCTGTCTCAACTTATTTCACAAAGATGAAGGAACTTTGGGCTGAGTACAATGCCATGGTACCTTCACCAGGATGTGATTGTCCAAAATCGAAGGATTACATAAAGCATCTCCATAGACAGAGGTTACTTCATATTTTTTAGTGGACTGAGTGAGTCCTATGAGCCATCAAGGAGGCGGATCTTAATGAAAATTGTAGAACCTACCTTAAATCAAGCCTATGTGATGATAATTGAAGATGAAAGCTAGAGGTCCAATTCTAGTTTAACAGGAAAGGTTGATCCAATGGCAATGCAAGTTGGACGAGGACAACCATACAAAGGAAAGAAACCTTACACGTACTGTGAACATTGCAACATGAAAGGTCACTTAAAAGATAATTGTTACAAACTAGTTGGTTACCTACAAGACTTCACGGGAATGAAGAAATTTGTGGCCAACAATGTATTGGGAACTCTGACTTGAACAAAAAGGCTCCATCAGTGGACGATGAATCAAGTTATGGGCATACAGGTGGTGACAGACATTTCTTCACTAAGGAGAAATATGATCAAATTCTCACTATGTTGAACAAAGGAAATATTGAGCCACAAGTAAACAGAGCAGGTATAACAACTTCTTTTATGGCATATTTAGATTGTGAGAAATGGATAATCAATTCAAGGGCTTCACATCATATAACTACTAGCTTAGATACATTACAAAGTTAAACTAAGCTGAAGTCATGCAATAAAGAACAGGTTAACCTACCTAATAGAGGAAAGTCCACTATAACACATAAAGGAATAACAGAATTCCTAGAAAATATGAGAGTACACAATGTACTTTATGTTCTAGACTCCAAGTTCAACCTATTATCAGTTTCAAAACTGACGAAGGAACTCTCTTGCTCTGTCACTTTCTTTCCTGATTTCTGTGTATTTAAGGACCTTTACAGTGACAGGGTGAGGAAGATTGGTAGAGAAAAAGGTGGACTGTATATAGTCAAGAAAGATTCAAATAAGAAGTTGTAACTGTCAGGTTAACCTAATAGAGGAAAGTCCACTATAACACATAAAGGAATAACAGAATTCCTAGAAAATATGAGAGTACACAATGTACTTTATGTTCTAGACTCCAAGTTCAACCTATTATCAGTTTCAAAACTGACGAAGGAACTCTCTTGCTCTGTCACTTTCTTTCCTGATTTCTGTGTATTTAAGGACCTTTACAGTGACAGGGTGAGGAAGATTGGTAGAGAAAAAGGTGGACTGTATATAGTCAAGAAAGATTCAAATAAGAAGTTGTAACTGTCAGTGATGAATGTAGTTGTGTCACAGTATAAGGAAGATAACATCTTATGTCAATGTAAATAGTGATTGTTCTATCTGTCCTCTTGCCAAGCAAAGCAGATATCTTTTCCTAATAGTCAATCTAATAGTCAGTCTGTACAAGAGCTTCTTCACATGAATGTCTGGGTTCCCTACAAAATTTCTACTCATGACAAGAAACAGTTTTTTCTGACAATAGTTGATGATATGTCTAGATTTACTTGGATATAAGAGTGATGTGTTTGTTTTTCTTAAAGTATTTCTTGCTATGATAAGAACTCAGTCTAATGCAGTTACAAAGATTATTCGTACAGATAATGGTACTGAATTTTTCAATCGTTTAGTGCACTAGTTTACTAGAATCATATGACATTCTACATCAAAGTAGTTGTGTCTATACTCCACAACAAAATAGAGTTTCGGAGCGCAGGCATAAATATATTCTTGATGTAGCAAGGGCATTGAAGTTCTAGGGCACCATTGCAACTAGATTTTGGGGAGAGTGCATAGATGCAATTGTTTATCTCATCAACAGATTTCCAACTGATGTTGGGAAGAGTCCTTTGAAGTTCTATATGTCAGACCACATGCTCTTGCACATCTGAAGGTATTTGGATGCTTATGATATGCTGTGAATCTGCCCAAAGGAGACAAGTTTACAGCTAGAGCCAAGGTTGTTGTATTCTTGGGATATTCAGCCACTCAAAAGGGATACAAGTTGTTAGATATTGAGACTAAACAACTGTTTGTTAGTCGAGATATGGTATTCAAGGAGCATATATTTCCTTTTCAACAAGCTGTTGGGTTGTCCTATCCCTCTTTTATTGGTTACTCCTCCACAGCTCATGACAGGGGGAGATTGCAAGATCATGAAGCAGTGGACTATGAAGTATATGAGGAAGCACACTCAGTTGACACTCATGAAGGATATGACATATTATCATTATTTCTAATGGATATGTTGACTATGAGCCTGTTTGGATTGACTTAAAAAAAGTGGCTTTTAAGCACAAGTGCTGGAGATTATTTTATAAATAAGCAGTTACATGTTTGGATAAAAGTGCTGAAACTTAAAAAAAGCTGCTGAAGTGTTTGGCAAACAAGTGCTGGTAAGCACTTTTTCTTATTAAAAAGACAAAAATATCCTTAAAGTTGTTAACATTATAAAGGAGCTGATTACTACAATATATTTAACTATGAATTAATACAAATAAAAAATAATTTATATTTTAATTTAATTTCAATTTAATTGATTACTTTAGATAATTTTTATAAATATAATTCTTGAATGCTCATTTTTCACCACTTTCAATCAAGTAAACTTTCATAAAAGTCTCAACCTATTTAAAATACCAAATTATTTTGTATAGAAAAAAATAGGAACTTAAAAGAACAAAAATATGTATAAACATTACTCTTTTTATTCAAGTTTATGTTCCTATTTTTGTTGATGGCGCTAAGGAAAAAAGGGATGAGCCTTTTAGCTATATCGTCAGAGAAATTGATGGGAGCAATTATCTTGATATATACATGAAAAGTGTTGAACTGGGCATGGAAGAAATATTTCTCTCTTAATAAAAATATTTCAATAAATTTAACAAATGTCTAAACAAAATAACCTTTTAAGGCGTGTTGTTGATCATAACTAGCTAGTGTTTTTACTCTACAATTATAAGTATCAAGCTTCACAAATTTCATTAGCAATCAAATCACGAAGACCCATCCAAACGAGATCACTTTGCTCTTCCACATTTTCTTGCATTTATATTGTTATTAGTTCTCGAAGATGTACCAACATCAGGATCAACAGATGGAACATATCTCTCATTCTCAGATGCTCGGAATGCATCATCCATATTGCATTTCTTTCTAATATAGTTATGAATGGCCATAGTAGCAAGTACTATGTCTCTTTGAGTGTCAATGTGATAGAAAGGCATGTCTCGCAAAAAATACCATCTTGCTTTCCAAACCCTAAATGTGAGCTCTACAATATTTCTACAAGAAGAATATAAATAGTTAAATTTTTCAATTCGTCTTCTTGGTTCTCGCAATTCTCTTGTTGCACCGCGGCAGAATTATGCTAAGTGGTATCTCACATTATCTCCTTTGTATGGAGCCATGTATCCCTTCATATGCGGATATCCTGCATCAACTAGATAATACTTATTTCCAATTGGACGTGAAAAATTGAGTTCTGGTCTACGAAGGGCCTCACCAAATATACGACTATCGTGAGCTACTCCTTCCCACCCAGCCCATGCAAATGTAAAACACATATTAAAATCTACTACAGCAAGAATATTTTTAGTCGGATAACCTTTACGTCCAATATATGGTATCTCTTGACCTTGCGGTAATCTTGCTTTAACATGTGTGCCATCAAATGCTCCAATACAATCCTATATACATATACAAGTATAAATATAACTTAAGTTAGTAATACTTATAAAAGTTAAGTTATAAGTTTAATAAAAATAATTAGGTAAAATTATTACTTACTCTAAAGAAAGGGAGATATCGACCTTTACATGGCTTGTGAGCTCCTGCACCATCATTATAATTTGGATGTGGTCTTATAATATCTCTCGCAAGCTCACAAATTGCCTTTAAAACACAGTGAAAGTGTCTATGAATTGTTTCTCCCAAATGTTGAAAGATTTCCTGTATCAATCGATTTCCAGCTCCATGTGCACAAGTCATCAAGAACATGTCTAACATCTCGTGTATTGACATTCCGCGTGTGGGTTTAAGCCCATAATTTTCAGTTAAATCATTCGATAAATCAACAAACACCGACTTTCTCAATCGAAAATTTTCATAACAACGAGTCTCGTTTCCTCTTAATATCTCTTGAATAAATGCATTTCCAGAGCGACTGGATGTACGACAAGGTTCCTTACATAGGTATTTTTTGTAATACTTCAAGATCAATTTACCTGATATATGGCATAAAGTCATCCATTCCTTCTCATCTTGCTCCCTCCATATTTCCTCCAGTTCTTCTTCATCTTCATCATCTGACGAGTAACTTGGATAAGGATCTACCAAGTCGCTAAAGTTCGAACTCTCCATTTAACTGAAATGGAAACATAAAGTTAACTAACTAGCTAATTGCAAATCATCTCAACCCATTTCTCCATTTTTCATTGCAAGCTAGGAAACATACACATAACTAAAGCTAGGAAACATACACATAACTGAAGCTGGGAATCATAAAAGGTAGCTACTAATCTGAAGTTGTTAATCCTCAAATGAATGGTAGTAAATGAAAGGCAACAATCAAGCAAATGAAAGCAAATGAAAGGTAGCCACCATCAGTGAAGTTAGCACCATAACTGAAGCTTACACATAGATGTGTAGGAAAAATGTTCCGTGCATGTTTACACATAGAAACCATAACTGAAGCTTACACATAAAACCATAATAAAGTTTAGCTGAAATGGAACTACAATATTCGAATACGGAACAATAAAAATATTCAACCACAACGATACATTATCCATTTTTCTTGAGATATAACTGATAGTTAAACTCCAACCAAGACTTGCAAGCTTCAGCAGTAGGCATCCGCAAAATATTTGTCGGATATTTTTCTTGCGGAACATATTCATAGTGAAACTATAAATTTCACTCCCAGCTAGAATATTAGGAATTTGTTTCAATGTGCCAATACACTTCTCGATGGATGCCTCATCAACTGCAGGAGATGTAGCAGTGCTTTTGCTAGACATAAACTCTATGAGAGAGTGTATATCCTCTTTTATTAATGTTGCAGTTGTTTTTTTCTTACTCTTTCTTACTTGACTGCTAGTGCTAACACCATCAGTTGATTTTTGTCTTTTTGGTGATGGCTCTGGAAACATAATAGAATTTATATTTTGTAGATCATCACTTTCATCGCTCATTTCATCATTAAGAAAAGTAAAGTGTTCTTTGTCACAGCCATCAATATCATATATTCCCTCTTCCTCAAGATTTAGTCCAATGCTGGACGATTGTTCTTGGTTTGTTGCACGTGCTCTTTCTCCTGTGGCAACAACATCAACAAATAGTGCGTCGTCGCGAAACCAAATGAGCAAAAGATCTTTGTTCCTAAATTTTTTATATCTAGCATTCTCCCGTAAATAAATTCAAAGTCACTTTAAGCTAAAAAAGAAATTTAGCAATGAAAAAGAAAAAGAACGACACATGTAGCAATATGAGATATGTACCTTAATTTTTCGCTCCCACCAATCATCATTTGCTATAATTGTATTTTTTGTGGCATCCCGCCCTAAACTTGTCTCTCCTCTCATCAACTTCTTAAAAAGTGTCCATTCGGCTTTCATGTAACCTCAATGATTTTTCAATTATTTTTTATTATACACTCTTCCCGTCTTCTTTTCAATCTCATTAATTATATTTTTTCACCCATCTTTAGATAAGCAAGTGTTTGGTCTATTTTCCTTTTTAATCTCTTGCTCACACAACTCAATTAATGTAATATGAACCTCATCGTCCCACTTAGCGTTACTTTCCGTCATGATTGAATGTAAATAATCTGAAGAAAGGAGAAACAAATATATACTTCCTCATTAGTTGGAGTGACTAATGGAATATCCAATATATCCAGTGGGCTCTATTTACTGTGATAACTTGGCAGGTTTTAATTCCATTGCGGATTATGAAATGGCTTCAAGACTACTGGAAAAAGGAAGTATAATGCAATCACCAATAGCAGATACTGAAGTTAAAAAAAAGTCACCAATTGAAAAAGCTTTAGTAAAAAGCAACTTAGAGAAACCGCATTATAAACTTGACTTAAAAAAAATTCATTTTGTTTGGCAGCACTCATGCAAGACAAGTAGCTAAGTTTTCATCAACTTCTTTTGTTAACCAGTGGTATATATAAATAACAAAAACAAAAAAAGAGAGAAGATGGGAGGACTTTAAAGTAGTATAAGAAACAGAAAGCTTTCACTATATAGTTTGCTAATTGCTACTCATTATGCAGAAAGAAACCAACTCCACTAGCTCTAGCCTTTAGGAAGAAATGAGATTACTTGAAGTACATTAACCATGCCTTTTCTTTTTTCTCCCGCACAGTAACAACAACAAGTCGAGTATAATCCCACAAATTGTGAAGGGTAGCGTGTACGTAGACCTTACACCTACCTTGAAGGTACAAAGACTGTTTTTGATAGACCATCAACCCAATTAAAAAACGAAAGAAAGTAGTAGTAACAACAACAAAATTCTCCCACACAGTAAAGGGCAACTATTTACAGGACAAAAGCATATGTAAAGGTGGAGAAAGAAAGCTTAGACAAGAAAAGCTAGAAACAGCATAAGTTTCAAGAAGAAAAGGCAAAAATCTAACAAACAGAGCCAACAACCTAAAAGCAAGATCGTTCTTTTAATTTTTTTCCTGTCTATGACCATAATAAACCTTGAGCATAATATATCCACTATAAGACAAGACCAACCTCAACTAAGAGATACCAAAAAAAAAAACTAAGAGATCCCTGCATTCAGTCTATCAATCCTTTTTTTTTTTGTTAATGTTTTACCCTTCGTTTTCTTTTCTTGGTAGTATTGGTTACACAATTTATATGTTGTAAGACCCTCATGTTATGACGGAGCATAATACATATAGCTTTAGTTGCTTTCTAAATTCTTGTATTTGTATAGTCAAAAATCAGTAAAATTTCCAAATGAATTCAAACAAAAATATACAATAAGGATCGCGATGAACTTACAACGAGGATTTATTTCCACTGAATTGCTTGAAGAAAAGCGCAGAAAAATAAAGATGAAGCAGAGATGAAGAAGAAAGGAGGAACGACAGTCTTCAAAGTGAAGGAAATAGGAGAAGTACAATGTTTTAGGGTTTCTTTGACTGAGGGTAATTTTGGTATTATAAAACTTATAAGGGACAAGAGAGTAATTTTATTGGTCAAACTAAAATGGCTTTTAAACCAAAATAAAAAAAGTTGGGGTCAACCAACTTGTTGCTTTTGGCTTTTTTTAAGCACTTTTTAGCTTTTTTTTAAGTAGCTTTTTTTTTTTGCCAAACACTCCAAAAATTTAAAAAGTGCTTAAAAGCTGGTCACCCTCTATACACATCCTATTGAGGCTAGTACTCATTCTGAACCAGTAGATATTGCCAATGATAATTCTGAACCTGTTGAAGCTGAAGCTACAGCTGAGGCTACTCATGCAGAGACTAAAGCTGAGACTGCTGCATCTGAGGATACTCATGCAGTGACTGCGGCTGAAGTTGCACATGCTCCTACACTTACAGACATACCTGCAAACATTCCCGAGAATCTTTGCATATCTGAAGGCTTTGTTGACACTGATCATACAACACAAACCTTGAGAAAGTCTGCAAGAACTGCTAAAGCACCACTATGACTTCAAGATTTTGTGACTAGTAAGAAGTCAAATGGAGCAACACTACAGACTTTTGTAGATTGCATCTCTTATGACCATGTGTTATAAAGATACAAGAGCTATTTGACCAAACAATAAGCCCTCACAGAACCACTAAGCTTCAAGGAAGCATCTCAGGATGAAAACTAGATTGCTGCAATGAAAATGGAGATTAAGGCATAGGAGGACAATAATACATGGTAGGTAGTAGACCTATCAAAAGGCAAGAAAGCAATTGGATCTAAATAGGTCTACAAGTCAAATGGAGATGTGGAGAGATACAAAGCTAGATTGGTCGCAAAAGTCTATAACCAAAAGGAAGGATTGGATTACCATAAGACTTTTTCACCAGTTGCCAAAATGGTGACAGTTAGAACACTGATTGCATTGGCAGCATCAAGAGGTTGGTACATGTACCAAATGGATGTCTATAATGCATTTTTGCAAGGAAATTTATATAAAGAGGTATACATGGAGCTTCCTCGGGGATTCAGAAGACAGGGGGAGTCAAAGGTTTGTAGATTGAAGAAATCATTATATGGGCTTAAACAAGCCTCAACACATTGGAATATAAAAGCTTACCGAGGCATTAATAGAATCAGACTACAAGCAGAGCTTGTATGACTACTCTATGTTTACTAAAAGTAGGGGAGACAACTTTGTGGCAGTCTTGATATATGTAGATGATTTGTTAATCACAAGCAATTATGAAAGTCTCATACATGAGACAAAAGATGTACTACATCATAAGTTCAAAGTGAAAGACCTCGGAGAACTAAGGTACTTTGTGGGAATAGAAATCATGAGATCAAGCAAAGGAATCTTGTTGAATCAAAGAAAGTATGCATTGCAGTTAGTGTCAGATATGGGATTAGGAGGAACAAAGCCAGTGGAAACACCTGTTGATTTGAATCAGAAATTCACTTCACAAGAGTATGATAAACATACTGGTGCAACAGGAGATGAGGTACTAACTGATGCATCAGCCTATCAAAGAATCATTGGTAGATTGCTTAACCTAACAATAACCAAACCAGAAATTAGCTATGTTGTACAGACTCTAAGTCAGTTTATGCAAGCACCTAAAAGATCTCACTAGGATGCAACAGTTAGAATGGTAAAGTACATCAAGAAGGATCCAGGAATGGGAATATTTATGAGCAGTTTGCAGTCTGATACCTTAACCTGCTATTGTGATGCTGATTGGGCAGCATGCCCAAACATAAGGAGATCAATGACTGATTTTCTAGTAAAATTGGGGAGTCCCTAATATCCTGAAAATCCAAGAAATAGCAGACAATTTCAAGAAGTTCTGCAGAAGCAGAATACATGAGTTTAGCAGCAACTACAGCAGAAATAACTTGGTTATTAGGACTGTTTTCAGAATTAAAGGTGTCCATCGAGCAACCTATAGATCTGTTCTGTGATAGCACGGCTGCATTGCAGATTGCAGCCAATCCTATATTCCACGAGAGAACAAACTATATAGAGATCGATTTCCATTTTGTGCGAGACAAGATCAAGGAAGGGAAAATAACAGTACATCGTATTGGGACCAAAGATCAACAGGCTGATTTGCTCACAAAAGGTTTAGGAAAAGTGCAACATTGTTTCTTACTTAGCAAGTTGGGAGTGATTAATATTTTACTCCCTCCAGC